ATGTGTCCAAGACCCCCTGGACCTCACCCGATATACTGTCCACTGGGACTTCTTGACCAGGGCAGTCTCACTGGGAAGGACAGTAAGAGAGACAGAACTGGAGGCGGCAGTGTCCAAGGCCATGGTGAGGGCTGCCCTGGGTGGAGGTCCGGTGCAGACACTCGGGAAAATGACTGTCACTGGAGCTATGATGAGTCACTCAGGGGGAAGTTGGGCTACTTTCAGCTCCCTTGAAAGAAAGCAAGGAAGTGTGACAGGCGTTGAAAGTGTTCCCTCAAGCGTGGGTAAGATTGAAATGGGTGTGGGGAGATAGCCTGGGCTAGCTCGGTCTTCAGGGTGGCAGCAAACAGAGACAGGCTTCAGGAGCAAAACCGGATGTATGTCTGGGCCCAGTCATTCCTGCCTGTCCCTAGCCTCGGTTTCTTTTTCTATAAAACACTGTCTCACCTAGTTCACAGGTGGTCATCAGTAAAGGAAGGTGGGTGCAGAAGGGGCCCCTACCTGGCTTACAGGAAGTACGCTACAAGGCAAGCAAGTGCTCTCCACGTGTGTGTCCCATGGATTTGCTAATGCACTGTCCTCAGAGGGCCAGACAAGAGGCACGTGATTACCTACAACAGGTTTTAAAAGCAAATTAAGGCCTCTAAATCCTAAGCCTGTGTTCCAACTACCCTGAGGGGACAATGACAGTTACTAAGGCCTGAAGACCTGCAACTAATTCATGGGGTTATTAATAATTCATAATTATTAGGGTTGTTATGCTAGAATGGACGAACATTTAATTCTTAACACCTGGGTTTGGCCAAGACCTATAGCAGACCTTTGACAAGGCAGCGTCCAGACAATCCCTTGCCTGAGCAAACTGGGGACTTTAAGTCACCCTCTTATTTCACCCTAAGAAGAAATTGTGGGATGTGTCTTTTTAAAAGCATCTTCATTGGGAGGGGGTGAGGGGAGGGCACTTGACTTGGGGGAGGAACTAGACTGGGAAAGGGTCTGGTGGCCTTCTTAGGACCCACAAGTCCTCTATGAAGTTCAGGGTGGTTATAGGGATGGGTGTTCCTTGTGGAAACGGGGGTGGGGATTAACTCAAGGAGAGAGGCTGTTGGAGTGAGGCAGAAGCAGAGGTCACTGTGAGATGGTGACCTCGGGAAACCTGAAATTTGCTGCGATCTTGGGTCTGCTATAAGGTATGAGAGAAAGAAGGCACATTTGAACTGTGATGGCTTGGGTTGTAAGTCATGGAGGCCAATATCTGTAATAATTATTGATTTATTTTATAAACATTAGGTATCACCATTGTGCCACTAAGCTCCTTCTCTGGGCCTGGGGACATAAAATGTAAGGAATATAGATAGACAAATGGAATATCGTTGTAGCTTGTGACCAGCCTCAAAGGGGATATAAGAGTTGCCTGTGGGGCTAGGAATCTAGGTTAGTGGTAGCATTCTTGCCTAGTATGCACAGGTCCTGGGTTCAATTCCCAGCACTAACACACACACACACAGTGGTGTTTGCCACAGTGGGGAAGGGGGTAGTGAGTCATGTGGATCACACACTTGGTCATGTATGGGGAACTGGAAGAAAGGCAGTTTGACCCCATCCCCTCCTGCAGGATGTCGTGGGAGGGCCTGCAGGGACATCTCCACTCAGTTAACCATTTTGTCAGCGCTTCTTCAGGGTAGCTGGCTCCTTGTTCCTTTCATTTCCCCTTCCTGGTCTCTGAGGCTGTGAAACTGCCAGAAGAACCCAGCATGGAGAGGAGCTAACTGGCTGCTGCTTCCTCTTCAAGCTGAGTGGTCCCCGCAACACAGGGAGAATCCGACAGTGCGTGATAGTTGGGGGGGGGGCACCTCCACGAGTGCAGGTGGAGGTGTCGTTTTGCATCTGATTCCAAGATGTCAGTCACCCCACCTGTAACCCTCCTTCTGGGGTCTTCGGCTCCAGATGTTGAGGGACCCTCATTAGTTAGATGCGGGAAGTGAAGATGAATTTGATTGGGTGAGCATTGTCGCCCAATCACAGCTACTTTGCAGAGAAGAGCAATCCCTGCAGCTGCTGAAGCTTTGCCACGCTTGCCGAATTTGGTGGTTCGCAAACTGTGGGCAGCATTGAACTACCATGAAGGCCTTGTCAAACACAGAGAGCGAGCTTCAGCTCAGCAGGCAGTCTAGGGCGGGACTCCCGCTGCCGCTGGAGCCCCGGCTCCGGAGGACACGCCTAGTAGCCCTATCCAAGATCTTACCTCTGTTAGTCGGCCCAGGCATAGGTCTCAGAACCAAACAGAAATAGGATTTGCATGAGTGTGGCCAGCTGTAGGTTCTTTGCTTACTGTGAACTCAGCCCCTTTTCTTATGTTCAAATGTTCACCTAAGAATAGTGATGAGTTATTCCGCGTGATGTTGGAGCCCCCGAAGCTACAGAGATGAAAATCCTGGGAAGGAGAGCAGAGCGTCCCTCACTTGCATAGAATACTCTGCCCTTTATTTAGATGCCCGAAGAATTCTCAGCCCGGATGGCAGATGGTGAGATTCCACTTTATCTGCAAGATCATTGCTTTTTTTTTTTTTTTTTTTTAAGATAAGGTCTTACGACGTAGCCCTTGCTGGCCTGGAACTCACTGTATAGACCAGGCTGGCCTCTAAACTCACAGGTATTCTGCATATTTATGCCCCCTGAGTGCTGGGATTAAAGGTGTCCACCATCACAGCTGGCATTGCCTACATTTTAAGAAAAACCCAAGAGTAAAAAATAAAACAAAACCCTGGAAGCCCGTTCATCCTTTAACTGATGCAAAATCATCCTCTGATTAAAGGGTACACGCGTCACCTATGCGAGGACACTTCTGAGTTCATGGTGTGGCTAGGCAGCCTCTTGCAGCTGTTGGCAGCCAAGTCTTCTCCAGCGCAGCGCTTCTCAACCTTCCTAATGCTGCGGCCCTTTCATACAGTTCCTCATTTGTGGTGACCCCAACCATAACATTATTTTCATGGCTACATCATAACTGTAACTTTGATACTGTTATGAATCATACTGTAAATACCTGTGTTTTCTGATGGTCTTAGGGGACCCCTGTGAAAGGGCTGCTCAACCCCCAAAGGGGTCATGACCCACAGGTTGAGTGGATGATGTGGAACTTGGTCCAGAGGCAGCGTATCTGGGCTGAACTTCTTCTAGGGCAACGCTGCTCAAGTCACTGTGCACACGGAATCACTGAGATCTTGTTCAAAATGAAGATTCTGACTCAGGGCCTAGTGACAGGGCCTGGGTCTGCAGGTCAGAGTTGTAGGGCAATGACAAGGTTGATGTCTGTGACATCCGGGGCCTCGACACTCCACCCCTTCGAAGGAAACCGAAGCGGTTTCTTCAAACAGTCCTTCTGGAGATGGAAGGTGGGACAGCATAAAGTGTCTGTATGAGGACCTGAGTTCCAGCCCCTGTGCAAAAGCTGGGCAAGCAGCATACATCCGTCCTCACAGCACTGGTGAGGCAGAGTCTGACCCCTGGAGCTTACTGGCCAGCCTAGCCTCGCCAGCTGACGCATTGCAGGTTCAGTGAGAGACCACGTTTCAAAAAAGTGGAGAGCACAGTCCAGTGCTCCAGTGTGGGTCTCTGTCTCTATCTCCATCCATCGCCAGATGAAGGTTCTATGGTGATATGCAAAATATTCATCAGTATGGCTATAGGATAGGATCATTTCAGGTTCCCTATCTTCAGCTGCCCCAGGAACTAACTGGGGACCTCGCCTTGGGCACCTGGAAGTCCCTCTAGGTCCAAGTCTCTTCCCAACCCTAAGATGGCTCCCTTAATTAAGATATGTGCTTCCCTGCTCCCCTATCCAACCTTCCTTTATCCCAATCATCCCGTTGCCCCAAGTTCTCCCCATCCTACCCTTCTCACTTTTCTCTCCCCATCTCCCCTTACCCCCCTCCCACCCACCCTTAAGATCCCGATTGGGGGTAGGACTTTGGACTTTCCACAGGGCAGGGAACCCTGACTGCTCTTCAGACTTGAGAGGGAGGGGGAGAGGAGTGGGGGGAGGGGGAGAGGAGTGGGGGGATGGGGAGAGGAGTGGGGGGAGGGGGGAAGGAGTGGGAGGCTGGGAGGAGGCGGAAAATTTTTTTTCTCAATAAAAAAAAAGAAAAAAAAAGTGGAGAGCAACCGAGGAGGACGTCTGACATTGACCTCTTGCCTTCAAAAGTGAATGCACACGTGTGTGTGTGTGTGTGTGTGTGTGGCGGGGGCGGGGCTCATGCTTTTATAGATTATACAGACCTAGGAGAGATGTCTTCACTCTTCAACAGCGATGGAATTAGTGGGCCTCGTATGTGACTGGTCTTCACTAGTCTGTGATTTTGATGTTCTCTGTGACGTCTGTGGGGCTCAGAACTCAGTGTCTGATGGGAAGACCTGGAACATTCGGATGCTCTTCTCTTGCAGCTAACGACCATCTACGCATTCGTTGCTCATGTGTAAAGACACAGCCCACCTTGGCACCCCTGTAAAATAAGGGGGAGCTATTGGGTGGAGGATGGGTTAGACAAAGTGGAGACACAAAGTTCATAAACTTCCCCCAACTTCTCTGCCGGCTGTGCTGAGAATGAACTGTGGGAAGACAAGAACAAGACATAAACAAAGGCACCATCGGCTCAAACGTCAGCACTAGAGGTAGCTGGAAAGGGTAGCTTCTAGACGTATTTTGCAGAGGGAATCAACAGTCTTTGCTTACAAGACAGGGTCGGCTGGATGAAGGGCAAGTCCAGGACTTTGGGGTTGAGAATTGGAAGCAAGGAGCTGGGTGAAATAGTCATGGTGGGGGGTCACAAATCCCATTGGAATATAAGAACAGTTTCCCACAAAAGACAGAGGGGCAGATGGTGTGCAGCAGAGGAAGTGGGCTCCTGCAGGAGATGTCACCACGGCCACCAGTGGGCTCTGGAGAAGGTGAGCGTTTGGATAAAGGACTGATAAATCACAAAACTAGGGATATTTGAGCAAGAAGGACAGCATTTCTCTTTGTTTCTTTATTAATAAGTAGAGATACACAAAGACTTGATAAAAAGTTACATAAAAGGCTCAAGCATCGTCAAGATGTCCAGGGATCACTCTCGCTTCACGACAATGGCCACCTGCTAATACTGTCACTCCAAGGGCTCAGTGTTTCAAGTATCTGGCATTCTAGGTAAACCCCAGCCAATGTGGAGTCTCCAACCAGGCGGGCTGCTAAAGGAAGGGACCCCTCTGTGGCTCTGGACTTAGGGTAGCACGGTCTGAGGGGCTTTGGGGTTAGAGTTGACATGGGTTAGTGGGTCACATCTCCTGGCAGGCAAGACAGGTACACTAATTCCATCAGGTACTCTCCTCAGCAAGAGCCATGGGGAGGCTGGAAACTCCTAAGGCAAACATCCTGATGTCCCCTGTGTGGCAAAGTGCTTGGGAAGGAAGTAGCCATGGCATAGCCCCATTCTGGGGGAGAAGGAATGACCAGGGCGAGAAAAGCAGCCCATAAGGAGGTGTCAGAGTAATGGGAGAAAATGGGAGCACACAAAAGAGGCGCAGGGGTGAGGGGATTCCTGAGAGGGTGAACTTCAGGGGATGTGATAGGAACAGGTTTCTGAAAAACTAGAGGGAACCTCAGAATGAGACCTCGGCTGTAGATTCAAAGGTCGCACGGTGTCATGGCCAACCAGGTTTCCAGGCTTCCTGTTGGCTGGTGATAGAGGTGTGCTGAGCATGCTTGACTTGGGCTCTCTGGAGACTCTGCTGAAGGGCTCCTTTCTAATTCTGGAGTGTTACCTACCTATCTCACTTACGGGAAACATGGGATTCTGGGAAATGAACGTTTACCATCAGCCCTGAGTCAGAGACTGCAGAAGGCCAGATGTTAGCTTAGCATGTGGGCAGTTGAGGATGGATGTCCTGGATGATGGGCCTGGATGCACTGTCTCTTCTGAGAGGGGCAGGAGTACCGGGAGCTTCCTTCTAGTCACCTGTGTGACTCAGGGCAACTGCTCTGCTTCCAGTGACAGTCCCTATTCAGCACGGTGGAGGCGTGGCTCCAGATGCAGGGGTGCTGTGGGCAGGAGATGGGCTCTCTGGTAGTGGCTGCTGCCCCGAGTGCAGGGCCTTCCATCTCCGTATTCCATGGGGAGCAGTCTGCACCTCTCCGGGCAGCAACTGCAGTGGGTGCGACTCCGGGAGGCTAAGGCCAGAGAAAGCCCGGTCCTCTTAGTGTTGAAAAATTCCTAAGTATTACCGGATCTGGGAAATGGTGAGATACCTCAATTGGAATGTTCTTTGGTATCCTTTTTAGGAACAGAAAAATGTGGGGCGGAGGGTGGCACTTTGACAGGTTAGAAGTTGGATCTTTAGCTAGCAATCACTTCCTTCTATAGCAGAACTGTCCCTTGGATGGGGCCTTCGGTGACGATGGTCCTGCGTGTCAACAAGTTAGGACTTTCTGGGTTGAAAAGAACCGTGAGGCTGGACATCCGCTTGGTGCTCACTTGCCTTGGATTTCTCTCCATGAGTTTCTTTCTCCAGAGTGGCCCAGCCACCTGGTGGGGACCTTCCATGTTGCTTACTGGCTGCACTGCCTTCTCTTGTGACCCCCCCACAGAGTGCATCTTGTCCCTCCTGTCCCCCTAACCCAGATGCCACCTGGAAAAACTCAATCTTTACCCCACCAACAGAAGCAGAGAGGGAAGGATGCACCCTGGTGGGGGAGCAGTGTCCCCAATGAAGCAGTGTAGGGACTGTGTTACCAGCTCAACTCTCCTTTCCCCTCTGATCGAAGACAGGAGACAGAAGATCTAAGGCAGTGGAAGTATGCGCCAAGAGGCAGGTGCACTGCTGATGCCAGAAGGGGTGTGCTCATTGGCTGGGCTTAGAAAGGTGGTGGTCAGCTGATGCCAGAGGGGTGTGCTCATTGGCTGGGCTTAGAAAGGTGGTGGTCAGCTGATGCCAGAGGGGTGTGCTCATTGGCTGGGCTTAGAAAGGTGGTGGTCAGCTGATGCCAGAAGGGGTGTGCTCATTGGCTGGGCTTAGAAAGGTGGTGGTCAGCTGATGCCAGAGGGGTGTGCTCATTGGCTGGGCTTAGAAAGGTGGTGGTCAGCTGACTCGGATAGAGATGGCTTCAGGTCCTGATGCTTCATGGGTAATAGTGTTGAGTGCTTTCAGCTAAGAGCGATCACAGAACAACAGCTTTCCGGATGGTGTCACAGTCACCTCCTTGGACATGCCCCTGTGTTTGTGTCAGGGGGCACAGCAACACACAGGAGTGAGCAAGCAGGAAGGGACACATCTGAGAAGCTCAGGGCCCTGTCCACATCTGAACACAGCATTTACCCATTGCCTGAAAAGCAAACGATCTCACCTTCAGGATAAGGAAATGGTCATCTCTAGGGGTGAGATGGTCCCAGTTAGCTCTCACTTCAATGGCTGTGGGGGTGGGGCGGGTAGCAGGGAGGGGATTTTTCTAATCTCTGCATTTTCAACTACACTGACATCCTCCAGATAAATTCATTGCCCTCTCTCCGGTCTCTGGGGTTTGCTTCCTGGGTTTGACTCCACCCCAGACTTCTGCCAAGGCCTCTGCTAACTTCTGCCATCTCAGTCATTCGTTCTGGATGGAGTTTGGCACTGCTAGGAACTCTCAGAAAGACAAGAGCGCTGTTCCAGACACTATCCGAGAGGTCCGCTGAAGACCTGGAGCTTCGCCAGGCAGTGGGCACAGACCTCTCTAATAAAATAATCATTACTCAAATAATTTAAAAATCTACAAAAGACATCAGAGCTCAGACACTGGGGACGGGGTTGGGGAGGAAGCTTGTTCATGGCTTGTCTAGTATATTGGGTGTGGATAAACACTTCCACAGCAAATCAGCCCTATGTACTTAAAAGAAACAGCACATCCACCAAGAGACTGGGTACTGGGCTCGATCAACACACGGAGGGCTTGGAAGCTGTTGCTTGTCTCCTGGGAGAGGTGGAAAAGCCAGACCCTGTCTGCTCCTACCCATCCTGCCAGGCCCCCTTCCGGTGCCCAGTCCGGAGCCAAGGGCTGTGGTAAGAAACGGTTCTCAGTGCAGTTAGGCAGTGGGCTGGTCCCGGGGGCTAACAGTTCATGGTTGTTATGCCCAGGGTTTCAGGCTGTCACAAGATCACACACTGAAGTTTGTGAGTGCCAGTGGCCCGGTCTCCTCGCCATTTCGTTTTCTTTTTCTTCTTCTGACTTTTCTCTGGAATCTGTTGCCTGATGAACAATGGAGGGCAGAAAGACAAAGTCAGTTCAAGCTTTTTCTCCTCCTCTGTCCCCTCTCTGTGACTCCTGGGATGGAGGGAGAGCTTGAGGGTGCTGCTGTCCTGGCCACCCAAGGAGACCAGGCTATGAAGCATCTTAGTCTAAGAAGACTGGAGAGGAAGGGAAGGGAAACCAGAGTCACCTGACTGGAAATCAGTGACATCAGGTGGTGACTAATTTATTCAGACTGTAAGCGCCACCAAGCTTTACAATGGAATTGACGTCTGTTTTTTCATTTTCCATATTTTAGATAACTGGTCAACTGAGTGCAAAAGCCTGCTACACAGTTTCCCTTAGCCGTTCCCAGGTCAACTGAGTGCAAAAGCCTGCTACACAGTTTCCCTTAGCCGTTCCCAGGTCCAAAGGGCACCTTTGGTGCCACCAGCCCAGAGCAGTACACGGCAGTGTGGGGGGCACATCACTTCCGGCACCAACACAGGGATCAGGCAATGCAGCAGAGTGTGGGGCTAGAAGTGGGGGTGTATACGTGGCAGGGGACCAAGAGGTGGTAAACATGGGGCACCATGACAAGGTTAGATCCGAGTCACCCACATAAGGTACTGCAGACAGGGGTTTAAGTGTTGGGAATGTAAAATGGTTAGAATACGACGGACAAGATGGTGGCAGGGAACACAGCCGGGAGGCAACTTCGGTTATCCAACATGAAGTGAGAAAGGTTTTAAAGGAACGTTCAGGAGTCTGTTCTCGGGGCTGCTGGCACTTGAAGACCCACAGGCTGTGAATCTGGGAACACACACATGCACACGCACACACACACACACACACACACACACACACACACACACACACACACACAGTGCCTCTGGAATTCAAGCCCAGGAGCCATAATTGTCTGTTTCAGGGGGCAGAAAGAGGGGCCTGATCTTTGCTGTGTGGGATATGTTGAAAGCTCGGGGTTCTGAGAGTACCAGGATACCTGATCTCCACGACATGCCTGCAGCCTCCACACCCCCGTCCCATTATATCTGGGGGCAGCGTAGAGATGGAGGTAGCACAGGGGGGAAATGCAAAGAGGTACAAGAAATGGCAAACTAGGATTGGCACTGCCCAGGCTCCTGGCCCAGCACAAGAGCTGTGTTCTTCTTGTATTATTGCGATATGGCTTGCCCCTTCCACCCCAGAGGTCGTTGCCAGGGAGGGGCACAGCTGTCAGGGAGGGAACAAGGCTTACCTAATTACTCTAACGAGGTCATGGAAGGCTTTGTCCACGTTGAGAGGCGGGTCCTTGGCACTGGTTTCTATATATGGGATCTGGAAGGCAAAGCTCAGCTTGGTCAACCTGGCACCATGACCCACAAAGTCCTTTTCCACCTTTAAAATGGACACTCTAGAGGTTCTGAGGATCAGACAGAACCCCCACAAGGTTCTAGGGCTTCTTGCCTTGTAAGGCTGGAGAGTGTTACTAATGGCTTCTCTAGCCCCTCCTGTTCTCCAGGCAGAGATAATAGTTCCCTGAAATAGAACCCAGTTAGTCTTTTTATACTCAGGAGCAAACTGTTTCGTTTCCCACACGGAGGCATACTGTGCCTTCTTCGGTCCTCTTCTGGGCGTGACCTCTGATCTGACCTTTGCCCTGAGTTCCTCCAGAGTGAAGTTCAGTGGGAAGGCTGAGGAGAAGTCTGCTGGACTTCTGAACCCGGATTACCCTGGTCCCTTACCCCCAGCTCTCCAGCCTAGGCTGATGGGAGCAGCCCATGGGAGCTGTGACTGCCGCTTCATAGGCCACTTCCATACCATGCCTTGGACAGGCTGAGTGGAACAGACTCTGGGAGGTAAGGTATGCCAGAGAGTCAGGAAGGGCTCATCCCTCCACACATCCCTGGCCTCCTGGAAGGTGGGGGAGGGGTAAACTGGCTGAGGTTAGGCCAAAGGGCTTTGCTATTTTTCATAACATTTATTTTTTCCTGATCACAAAATTAGTGCCTTTTATTCTAACACACTTTATTTTATTTTATTTATTTATTATGTATACAATATTCTGTCTGTGTGTATGTCTGTAGGCCAGAAGAGGGCACCAGGCCCCATTACAGATGGTTGTGAGCCACCATGTGGTTGCTGGGAATTGAACTCAGGACCTTTGGAAGAGCAGGCAATGCTCTTAACCTCTGAGCTATCTCTCCAGCCCCTATTCTAACACACTTAAAGAAGCTAAGCACGGGAAATAAGTACATGAGGAGACTGGCAGCTGTTGGAGCAGCTGTCAGGAAGCTTTGCCCAGGACACACAGGGGTCAGCATCCATATGTGAAGTCCAGCGTCCACACACCGCAGTGGCTTCAGCACAGGCCTCAGTGTAGTGCAGGAACACACAGAGGGCCCAGCTCAGGCCTTTATCATTTTTTTTTTTTTTTGAGCCTCGGATAACCCTGAAAGGACAATACCCTCCACAGTAGGATGGTTATTTGGCTTCCCAGGTTTCCCTGTTCTTGCCTTTGCTGAGTTAACTCTCAGAGGCGCGCGCAATCTGGCAGTGGAGACAGAGCTCAGAATGGCATGCCTGCAAGAACTCCACATTGCCAGGCCAGCAGAGTCAGTGTGAGCCTTCTGCTTCTCCGCTTGGGCAGCTGTGCGCTACGTCAGCTTTGGGGCGTCTTGCGAACTGGATGCCGTGTCTACCCATGTTAAGCATTCCTGATAAGAACCAGGTAGAACCTGACTTATGGATCAGGATGTTGTGCAGCCCTGGACACATGCAGAAGGGAGGCAGGAAACTACCTACAGTCAGAGCCCCTGGGCATCCTACACTTTCGGGAGCTCAGCAATCCTCAGCATCTAGGGGCCTCAGAACACATGGACCCACCTTTCTTTCTCTCACCCCACATACAGTCTATGAGCAAATGCTGCTGGTTCTTAGAAGCACAGCCAAACCTTGCCACCCTCACATACTGCTCCGCCTCATGTGATACTGGGGCAGCCCCTGCATGATTCTCCGCTCTTCTCCTTTCCCAGTGGACTATTCTCAACACGTCACAGGAGAGAAGCTGCTCGGCCACACGTCACGCCTCTCTCTAAACCATCCAGTGGCTTTCCTCCTCAGCCTCTGTAAGAGCCACAACTCCTTACAACTCTGACTACTCGCCCGCCTCCACCTGCTTAGCCACGGCAGCTTGTTCGCTAGCTCGCAAACGCCAACCTCAGGGCTTTTGCACAGATCATTTCTGTTGTTAGGATGTTCCTGGATATCTGTCTGGCCATCCCTTTGCCTCCTTAAGTCCTTGATGAATTGGACCCACCCTACCCCATTTAAAAGGTACCTCCTCTGCCCTGTCCTGACCTCCCTCTCCTGGTGTGCTGTTTCCACAGGATGTGTCAACCTCAAACTAATTTACTTTGCCTACTGCCTGTCTCCACCAAAAGCAGGGAACTCTTGTTCCCCAGGACCTAGGATGATGGAATTAATAAAGGAATAAATACAGAAGACAGACAGGCAAAACTAGCTCCCAGCATGCCTTTCTCTATGTGGAGAGTAGGCCAATGGACAGAGATGGGGCTGCCTTGCATCAGACTTTCCAGCCAGCAGACAGGACCCAGTGTACTGTGCCAATATGGGGATGGGGAACAGAGACTGACCCAGCACCATCCAGAGGGCAAACACACTGCACTGAACTTAGAAAGCTAACATGCTTGTGACAGGCTATAGCTGGAGCCATATCAGTTTTAATGTTTATCAAGTGGGGATAATGATGTCTGTGGCTGTAAGGGTAGAGGATCTGATAACCGTGCTCCCCCAGTACAGTGCTAGGCATGGACTCAGTGAACAGAGCAGATCGCTGTGACTCAGCATCACCAGGTTTCTCATGCATGAGCCGGAAGAGCTCGATTGTGAGCCAGCCGGAAGAGCTACCACCTCTGCACGGCCCAATGTTGGCTATGTGCTGCCCCAGGCAGAGCAGCCCTCCACGGAACCCCACAGCTACCAGGCCACTCTGAAGGAAGCTGTCCCCACCACCTCCCCAGAGCCTCTTATGGCTGTAGAAGGTGCTTTCTCACTGGCCTGCTGCTCGTTTCAAATAATATCCTGCCACACTGCACCCTGTGGCCTCTCTGCCTCTGTTTCTTACTCCCATTTCCAAAGATCAGCACTGCAGGAGGGATGACATATGGGCTGTCACACATGGTCCTGAGGTCCCCAGAGCATGTGCCTACATACGTGCACGTGCGCATAGCACACACACACACACACACACACACACACACACAAGCACGCACGCACGCATACACGCTCATGCGCGCACATGCGCACACACCTACATTGTGTTTGGTCGCCATTTCTTTTCCTTGCTCCCTGGTGATTTTCCTCAGGTGCATTAAATCCACCTTGTTGGCCACGAGGATCATTGGGAACGACTCCCTGTGAAGCAGAACAACAGCCATGTGAGATGCATCCTCCGACACCACCAGCTCAAGGTGCACCTCCTCTTTTCCAGAGGAGATAAGGGCTTGGGAAAGAGGAGCCTGGGGTGTGTTGCAAGGCTAGTGTTGAGGCTGGCCTGAGGCAGCTGGTGAGGAGCCTGGCTTCCCAGAGACACACCTCAGCTCTCCAATACTCTGATATGCAAACCATGTGCAAAGCTACTGCAGTTCTCAGCTCATGGAGAGCACCAGGGACGGGGCTGGTACTGCACACACGACAGCTGCAAAATAAGGATGGCTCCAAGAAGAGGAAGTGCCGGACGGTGAGGCATGCCCCGTCAGCAACTGACATGAGAACCAAACAAAACTTCAGCCCCATGGCACTTTGGGCAATATTAGATATTTTCGTAAGAAAAATACCCGGTAACTTGTAAGAAAAAAATGCTACTTTTTATTTCTTTGATTAGCAAGTAAATTAAGATTTCCCCACCCCCGGACCACTCAGGGGTCTCCTTTGAGATTCATATATTCATGGGCTGAATGCACATCAATCACCTGCAGCCTGCTCTGCAAGCATGCGCTCCTCTGCTAGGTAAAGCTACAAGCCCTTCCCTGTGGGTTGGCTATTGACTAGATTTCTCCATCTCTACTGGGATTTAATCAAACCCCGCTGTTTTCTGGCATTTATTTTTTTTCTTTCTGCATTGCTTCTTTGACTGGCAGTGTTAGAGGGGCTTAGAACAGACACTTGGTGATTTAATTATGTTATAGGGTGTGAAGGGGAAAAAAAAGCCTTTAATGTGTGACTTGTAAATCTCGTAGTCAAATGCAATTTAACCAATTTCAGTGTGTTCTGGAGGGGAAATTCACTTTTCTTTGCATATAATGCAATTTGGTTAAATTGGAGTTGGAAAGCAAAGACATTACCCATGATTCCTTGATTGAAGGATAGTTTTTGAAAACAGGAGGGGCATGAGCCTTGGAATCTTGGGAGCAGATTAGGAACCAAGAAAGGGTCAGGGAAGACCTTAGAGGAAGTAATGGAAGATGGGGGGGGGCAGAGAAAAGGGAGGAGGGAAGAGGGGGAGGGGTAGAGAGGAGGACGGGGAGGGAGAGGGAGGATGGTGCTCTCCTGAGACAGGAACAGGAGTAGGGCGGTCCTGTCTGCTGCTCTCACCGGTCCTTGACACGCAGAATAAGCTGGTGGAAGCGGTCCACATGCTCGAAGCTGGCCTTGTCAGTGACGGAGTACACGATGAGGAAGCCATCCCCAGTGCGCATGTACTGCTCCCGCATGGCACTGAACTCCTCCTGCCCTGCTGTGTCTAGAACTGGAGAGGAATTATGTCACTCAGGGGCTGCCCTTGATCCCTTGGAGCCACTATAGACTGTAGAGCCCCAGGCTACAGCTGCCACTACCCGCTGTAGCTCAGTCCCAGCTGTCCTCAGAGGAGAACTTCCAGCCATCTCAGAGGCTGCTTCTGTGTAAGGCTGTCTGACTCATTTCAGCCTCTGTGCTCCCTGGACCACAATGCTATGGCCTCATGAAGTCAGAGACAGCTTTCACAGGTCCCTCTGGGGAACCCCAGAGCTAGGCATGGATTCCTGGTTTAGCCCTTAAAAACTGGGGTTCTCTGGGGGTGCACCTGACCCTCAGCACTTCCATTTCCTCCTTCACGTATACAGAAAAAGGGCCTCCACCTTGAAGCCTTCAGGTGTGGAGAGTGCGCCAAAGAAACCAGCCCAGTGAGGAAGGCCTAAGCCCTGTGTGGACAGGGATTGTCTCCAGTAGTCAAGGTCCATCCTAGGATGGAAATGGCAGGAAGGGGCATCCGGGGCAGGAACTGGGTGGTATCTGGGGGGCCACTATAGCCCCCTGCCACCCTCACACTCCTACTGCAGGAACCCCAGTTGCTCACTCTTCCTTCCTGACACAAAGTACTCCTGTCTAGTTGAGAGCCAACCCCCAAAGTTCCTGTATTGTATTTGAATAATTAAAGGAGACCGAGGTTAGGCAATTTTGTCTATTAATTTTAGAACTATCTGAGCACCTCCTATACGCCAGTAGGGAAGCAGATAAACAACTGAATGGCTGGCATGACTTTACCAGAGGTAAATGGTCAATGGTAGATGGTCAATCTAGTCAGGGGAAGGGTGGCTACAGCCTTTGTTGTTTTTCTGAATAGGTCAAGAAGCTATCGCCCTCTCCCAGGAGGTTACCTTTGAGTAATGACTAAATGCAGGAGGGATCAGAGTCACATGACCCCGGAAGCAACATTCCAGCAGAGGAAATACCCAAAAAACTCAGAGGTAGAGGTGTGGCCAACAGCTGGTGGTCTGGGGGTGGGTAAGGCCATGAGAGTCTGTTACCCTATGCTCTCCCTCATCTTGAGCAGGACAGGGGCCTCGGTGGAGCATGTAGGCTAAGACAGGATCCAGAGGACATTGTAAGAAGGCTGGTCTAAGGCGAGGGAGTGGGGGACAAGCCACCAGTGGAAGCGGGGAACTAGTTAGGAGGCTTCCAGATCATCCAGGCAACATGAGATGGGCAGTGGCTGAACCACTGCTGGGGAGAAAAGGGACAAGATTTGAACACTTTCTAAGACACGGCTGTACTGAGCATGCGGCGGGACCCTAAGCTGAGCCACCGAGTGAAGAAGCCAGAGCTTGCGGGGCTCAGTTTCTCACACGAGCCTGGCAGATCCCATGCAACACCTTAAGTCAGATCCTGAGAAGAAAGAGGGGAGGGGTCCTCATGTAGAATCACTTGTGGACAGGAGGCAGGGAAAGCCACAGAATGAGGATCTGGGGACCTCCCCCTCAGGATTCCACTTCTAAGGTTGGCTGGATCTTCCAGTCCTGTCTTTCTTCCCAGGTAAAGCCTACTCTGGCTACCTATCAAAAGTGATGATTGGTTTCTGTGCATGGGAAGAAATGAACGTGAGCAGAAGTCACAATACTCGTAGTTAATATATGCCCTAAAAGTCTGTGAATATATTATAAAAATAACCTAGGGAGCATTCAAAACTCAAAGCTCAATATGAATCTGAAAATAAAAGAGACGCCCCTAAAGCCCAACATGGTGGTGGCACACACCTTCCATCCCAGCACTTGGGCGGTGGATGTGGAAGGACGAGGAGTTCAAGGCCAGCCTGGGCTACAAGACAGTCTATCCTCAAAACAACAATAACACAAAAACCCTCTGGGAAGGAACTGCTCATATCTGACATTGCAGGAACATTCCCACATTTTCTAAAAGAACTCTTGGAGAACATAAATCATCAAAGTGAAAACTAAATCCAGGAAAGAGAAGGATGAGCGGCATTATAAATGGTCTCCGCCAGGAAAACATTTGAATGAAGATAACACTTATTGCTCAATTAGAAGACTCTGGAAGCCAGGCTTGGTGGTAGGATCTGCCTTCTCCGCTACTAATGAGGTTAAGGGGGGAGGATGGGAAGTTTAAGGTGAACCCAGGCAACTTAGCAAGGTCCTGCTTTAAAATAAACAGGTAAAAGGGGTCCGGGATCTAGCTCAACAGCAGAGCACTTGCCTGGCCTGGCTGAGGGCCTAGGTTAGAACTGCAGCAGCACAAATACAGAGCAAGAGAACACATGACAATTTAGAACTAACGTCTATGAGGAACCATGTGTGAAAAGGGGGCCATGAACAGGTAATCGGCTACAGGCTGAGTATACCTAAGTAGCAAGTTCAACATCTGAAGGGCTCTGAAATGCTTTATTTCCAAATATAAAAATCTCTAAAATCTGAAGAGGAGGAAAACACTAGCTTAAACTTTTAAAATTATTTTTTTTAATTTTGTGTGTGTGTATGTGTGCGCGTGTGCGTATGTGTGTGTGTGCGTGTGTGTGTGTTGGTATGCTCCAGGAGTGCAGTGCCCAGAGGCCAGAAGTCGGAGCTGTTGCTGGCTGTTGTGAACTCCCCAGCGTGAATGCTGGGGGCTCAACCCAGCTCCTGTGCTGGAGCAGACAAGTTCTTAACCTCTGAGCCATCTTCCCAGCCTCAGTAATCCCAGTAGTAAAGTGATGTCCTTATTCTGGCAAAGGTTAACAGATATTTAACCCTGCCTGAAGTTTGCTTTCTCTGGGAAGAAGCTCCAGACCCTGATTATATCCTGACGTTGATAGGAAAACACAAGTAGGCATGCTCTAATGTCTATACCATAACTCTGAAAAACAGAAATAAAACCGTGGACTTCCTAGTCAGTTCAAGAGAACAAAGCACATGGGGCGATGTGCAACAAGGCAAAAACAAAACAAAAAGAAACAAGACGGCAGAGATACGTCTATCAAAACTTCAATGACATTCTATACAGAGCTAGAAAAAATTCTAAAATTCACATAGGAGACAGTTCTCAAAAGTAGAATCATAAAGCGTATGTTATCATTAGCAATGAGGGGAATGAAAATCATGAGTTTACTGGGATCCTATCTTGCTCCAGTACGAAGGGCTATCATCAAGCAAAAGGCACCAAACACTGGCAAAGATGCAGGTACCAGGGACCATATATGCTGCTGTCAGAACAGAAACGGGTGCTGCCACTATGGAAATCGGCATGGAAATCGTCCAAAAGACTAAGAATGGAAATACTACACAGCCCAGCCGTATCACCCCTGAGTACATACCTGAACGAATCTAAACCGCTACTACAGTACCACAGAGGCATAAAGAGGAATAGAATGCTGCTGTTTGCAGGAAAACATCCCAGCAAGTGAGACACGCCAGATGCAGAAAGATGAAAATCACATCGTGTCTCATATATGGAATCTACATTTAAAAAAAAAAGTCAGGAGTGGTGTCACACTCAGGAGACAGAGGTAGGAAAACTGTGAGTTCAAGACCATCCTGGTCTGTATGCTAGGGAGATTCTATCACTGTGTGTGTGTGTGTGTGTGTGTAAAGGAGACAATTTGGAAAGAGAAAAAAGGGGATGGGGGACAAGAGACGATAATGGGAGTAATTATGTACATGTGTGAAGTCTCATAACAAGGCCCATTATTTTGTATAATATATACCAATAACATTTAAATAATTACAGAAAGCTATGAATGATCAAAACACACACAACCTGATACACTAGTAATTGCATATAAAACTGAAGACGCAAATGACTGAAGGTTATTCTTGGCCTGAGGAGACATGCAGCTGGGAGGAGATGATGCCGAGCTGGGCAACCCCTGCTGACTCACACACACCTGGAAACACCTGGGACAGACCCCAGCTCATGTCCTGCCACCTGGCCTTCCTAGGAAAGTGACTCTGCCTGCCTTCCCTATGATCAGGAAGGTAGGAGGCCTCTGGGGACAGTCTTACTCATTGTGGGGAAGAGATCTGCCAGTGTGTGCTGATGCCGGCAGAACCAGGAGGCAGAGGGAGGCTGGGGATGGAAACTCGTGGAGGCTGTTCTTAGGTCTAGTCCCACATGCCAGCATCACACGTCTCAGGTGGGTGGGCAGTCAGCATCGAGGGTGTCAGCCAGGGGCTCTGACGTCCCTGTCAAGACTGTTTCCTGTTCTCTCCCCTTCTCCCTTCCTCCCATCATCCTCTCCCTCTCCACCCCCGCCCCACTCCTTTCTTCTTCCTCTTTATCCATCTTGATGTGGGTCTGGCCACCTGGATCCAGACTAGCTGTCCAGATTCCAAACGCACGCTGAAGCTGTGACTGCCAACTTAAAAGTCTGTTCTGCTCCTCGCTGGTTGTCCCAAAGCCTGTCACCTCCTCGCCAGATGTCCTGGCTGCCCTTTGGCTCGGTGGCAGACCTCTGAGGAGGCCTCCCGCATGGGAGGTCTCAGCCTCCGACTCCCATCTCTGAAATCTTCCTCCAGCTCGTACGTATTTGTGTTTGTATTTGTGCCTCTTAACCTGGCTCAGCTCTATACTTCATGGTGGAGTGGCAAATACCAGGAACCAGGCACTGCTCCCTGGGTTCTTCCCCCAGACACAACTCGAAAGAGAGCCCCCAAAGGTGTGCAAAAGCATGGATGCATCCAGACTTTGGTGAAATGCTCTTTGAACTTTAAGGGCAAGCACTAAAAACTGACTTTTCAGCTTTCACTGATGGGGGAATCAAGGGTTCCAGGACACAGAAGAAGAAAGATAGTAACTTCTAGAGATGACATATCCACAAGGACCACAAGGACCCCATCTAGAGATTGTTGCCTTCCTGTACTCCCCACACCTCCCATGCGGAGGAAAGATGATCAATCCTATTTTTCAGGCAAGTTAAGTGGAGAAGCCTATATCTCCCCCTCGGTATAGGTTTGCATCAAACCATGTCATCCCACTGAACATACAGGGACAGGCTTGCTC